TTGAATCTGTTGAGGTAAAGAAAATAAAAAATGCTGGGCATTGTTTTAAAAAAGGGTCAAATTTTACCAAGTGTGGGATTCTGGTTGGTTGAAAGGGTGAGGTTGCACTCCAAAATATATATGTTGCATAATATAACAAGGTAATAAGACCTAATCCAAATAAATAAATAACTGGATTTGATCTTATTACCTTGTTTTATAATCTATAATCCGGGGGGTCGGTGGAAGGCTGGTTAAACCGTTTGGTTTACGACCACTACGACCCGGGTTCGATCCCCACATTGGACACTTTTTTCTGTTTAAAAAAAAAAAATGCTCCAATGGCCCCCCGATTCTTGCAAAAGTCCAACCCCACCAGCGAGTGCAAGTAACCAAACGGGGCTCTGGCACATTTGTAAGTGCAAAGTCGAACTGCTTTCACATGTGTAGACATGTGGTGCGCTTACAGTAAAAAGCAGTCGCTAACTACCCACCATGATTATCATGGCCTGTACCACGTGTACTGGGGATAAGCAAAAAAAAATAAATAAATAAAAATAATCTATAATCCAAATTGTGCCTTATCAATTTATGTTGCATAATGAAAAGAGCACCACCATTGAGATTAGAGCCAACATTGACAATGACGAGTGTTGTGACCATGATGGAATCCAATGAGAATAACCAGGCTGTAACCAAGACATTAATCGTCTTAAAGACTAACTTCTTTAATACAACACCTGGAAGGATCAGAAGTCTTTCATTTAAGTCAGTGGTTTAATTAGAGCTAGGAATGATAGAAACATTACTTTAGTCTGATGATGGTGACAACAACAGTGTTATACAGAAGCATCACACACTGTTTATTTAGATTTGGTCTTGTTATACCTTATGTTTCTAATCTATAATATAAATTATATCACACGTGTCAGGAATAATAATTACCAATTCATTGCAACAACAATCACTGCTACCAGGAATTGTCTAGGACAATTTGATGTCAACACCAAAGTATTTAGTAAGTACTGCTGAATTATCATAGCCTGTAGCTCAAGTAAATAGTAGAGGTGAACTAGCAATGAGAATATTTCTTTATTGAACTTTCCAGTACAAGCTCTTTCTCAGGACTGAGTTTTCAGAATAAGCCAATTTATTTTTCTCCCATTACCTATTGTGTTTATAATCTATAATCCAAATTGTGCCTTATCATTTTTATAGTCTTCAATGGACCTAAGAAGTTATTCTTCCTATGAGCTGAACATTGGATTTGGTCTTATTACCTTGTGTTTATAATCTATAATCCAAATTGTGCCTTATCGTGTGTATGCTCAGATTAAAAAGTAGGTTGGGAATGTCAGTGTTCCAGCCAGCCAATAGATAAGTGATCTCAACATCAGCCTTAAAATGCAATTCATCAAAACACTCAAGTTCTATACATGGGAGGTTATCTAGAAGAGAAACTAGTGAGGGGCTGGTGGAGAAGTGGCATAAACTCTTCAATTATCCAGGACCCGGGATTGGACACTTTTTTTTTTTTCTGGAAAATAATATTTTTCTATGCCCCCCTACAATTTTTGAAAAACCCAACCCCACCAGTGAGTGCATATAACCCAACGAGGTTCTGGTACACTTACAAGTGTAGACATGTGTGAAGACATGTAGTACATAGACATGGAGTAAAAAGCAGTTGCTAATGACCTACCATGCTTATCATGATCAGAACTGCATGTACTTGAGATAAGTAAAACCCTATCAGTTAGGTGAAATTAGAGAAAAACACGGTTAACACAATAATCCTACATACCTTTATAGGATAGAGTGGAATTATAAGGTAATAAGACCAAATCCAAATGGCAACCCCCCTTTCCATGGAGAATGGACAAGACACCAACACCAAATAACGGCAATTTATTTGTATTTGGTACCTTGTAGATCAAATCTATAGTCCAAATTTTGCCTTATCAGAATATAGTGGAGATCATGTGATACAGCAGCCATCATTTCACCCTGTTCTATCCATTCCTTTATTCTCCAAGGTGTTTTGCTCCAGAGAGAGATTTGCCCTATAAAAGGTTCCACATGGTTGCATGGGGTCTGGAGAAGTTCTCAGAGTTACTATCTTATTAAGTCTTATTAATTAATGATAAAGCACAATTTGGATTATAGATTATAATAAAGGAAATAAGACCTAATCCAAATAATTTATTAGTGTGTGACGGCAACAACATTGTCACATCATCAGACAAAAGAATAAATGGATTTCTTCTTTTATTTATTTATTTATTATATTCCATTTATTCTTTTGTCTGATGATGGTGACAATGTTGTTGCCGTCACACACTAATAAATTATTTGGATTAGGTCTTATTTCCTTTATCTTATTAATTAATATTATAAGTCAACAAGAATAGGTGAAATTTATTCCGATAGATGGCGCAAGCTATCAGCAACTTTCAGTTGCACGATAAGGAGATGTCTTTTTCATAAATTACTATCTTATTGCCAGAAATTTCCTACCACAACTATAAAGTTAGTTGGTGTTGACGATTTACAAATAAATAAAAAAATTAAATGATTAGGCACAATTTGGATTATAAACACAATTCACACAATCAGTACTTTTGTCTGAAGATGGTAACAACGCTGTTACCGAAACGTCACATACTATTTATTTATTTGGTCTTATTACCTTGTGTTTAAAAATTGAACGAGTTAACCAATGTTTTGGTAACACCGTTGTTGTTGAGGCTAAAGTACTCTGTGAGAAAAATTAACTAGACATGATGCGCTGTGTATTTCACTTAGTATTTTAATTAACAAGAGAAACAATGGTGTTGCCACAAAGCATACAAGTTCCTATTTGAATTCTGCCTCACACTTCCAGGAAGTCCTCAGTTAAAAAAGGTGATTTATCTCTCTATATTCCCAGCTGGGGTAAGGTACAATTTGGCCAAGTATTCTAGTTTCATTGTTACCATCCTGGGACAAATCAATCCATCCATTCAGTCAATACCCCTGTCTGAAATACAGTAGCTATAACAACATCACTTGCTGTTAGAAATAGTGATGGGCAAACCTTTTTTTTTTTTTTCTAAGGATCAGAACTTCCACTGGTATTGAGATATAATGAAGATCATCACTATTATGACGATAGCATTCTACTTCACCCAACAGGTCTCAAGCTTTACAAGCTTGATACCTTAATATGATTGAGTGGAGATAAGAAAGAAGAAGAAGATGACGATAACTTCTTTTGCTATCTATTATATAGAGTGATGAAGGTAACAAGACCGAATTATTGAAATGTTCGGGACAGCAACTGCACTGTTACCGAAATGTCATGAACATTTCAATAATTTGGTCTTGTTACCTTTTGTTTCTTAATACACTAAGGAACAAAACTTAAGGAAGTTGTACCTTTTACCATCTATATCAACAACAACAACAACAAGCTTTATTAAGACCTTTCAGTCTTATACAGATTCTCCAAGTAGAAATGTAGGGTACATACAGGAGTTTTACCATCTATATCTGTATTCTGACAATAACTCTGGAAGATATTACAGTGACCTTTATTGAAGACACACGAGATAACCAATATACACTCATGGACAAAACTTAAGGAGGTTGTACCTTTTACCATGTATATCTGTATTCTGACAATAACTCTGGAAGATATTACAGTGACCTTTATTGAAGACACACGAGATAACCAATATAAACTCATGGACAAAACTTAGGAAGTTGTACCTTTTACCATCTATATCTGTATTCAGACAATAACTCTGGAAGATATTACAGTGACCTTTATTGAAGACACACGAGATAATCAAGTGTGAACAACCTCTGTCTCCTTAAAAAAAAAAAATAGATGACCAGTGACATCAATGACTTTCCACTTATTCAAGTTTTGTCCACGAGTATATATAATTCAAATTGTACCCTTATCATATATATATTCATGTTCAAGTGAAAGAAACAAAAAATACAATGAAATGATTTTCAAGAGGTGCATTGGTTACAGAATAACACACTGATTTATCTATTTGCTCTTTAGAGTTCCAAACTCAATGTGCTGCTTTTTTTTTTTTGTTGTTTTCAATTTCAAAAACTTTTAAACTCTTCATTTAAAGACCTATGGATGATCAAACTGAATCAGGTGGTGAGTGGATTGTTCTGATCAGAAGAGCTCTTTGTCCACTCACTTTCTATAAGCTCTTGAATCAATTTGTCAGCCATCTATTGAAGGAATCAGATCTAAAGAGCTACTGCTCTTTTTTTCTGATTCATTGATCATTCCCTGCTTAAAAAAGGAGTAGCTCTTTAAGTCTGCACATGAGCTGAATGCCGACGTATCACTAGTTACAACCACTGCTGAAACAATTGGAACTTGGTTCTATAACTACATTGTTTTATGAAAAAAGGCATCTCCTTATCGTGCAGCTGAAAGTTGCTGATGGTTTGCGCCATCTATCGGAATAAATATCAACTATTCTCGTTGATTTTTAGTTATTCCAGATTTTACATTAAGGAGATGCCTTTTTTCATAATTTATGCACCTTTATCCCAGTACAATATCACATTTGTACTATTTTTTTCAAAACTACATTGTTGTTAGAAAAGATGCTGTTTTGTATACCACTGTATTTATCAGAGATAGCAAAAAAGTTTAAAAATTTCATGCAATACATTATTTATTATTTCTAATAAGAAAAATTGGAACGATTTGGCTGAAATTTTATTTTGTGATTTATGGCAACAATTTGGATTAAACATAAGGTAATAAGACCAAATATATATAAATAGTATGTTACCAACATTACTCCGTTACTGAACCATCACACTATGATGAGCCAGGCCCTCCCATTAATTTATCCTTGCAGTTAGGGCAGTAGAAAATTGTTTTATTTCAAAAAGAATCATATAGGCGTCAAAAACAGCTTTCTTATAGCAGATGCAGCGCTAATTCAACATATTATAATGATTTTACGTTATATTGTATAATTTTATTGTAAAAAAAGTAGCAGAGCGTGGTTTTGATCCGTGGACCTCTGGGTTATAGGCCCAACATGCTTTCACTGTGCCACACTGCTCATGCCGTGATCGTCTAGTGGTTAGGACATTGTGTTGTGGCCGCAATAACCCAGGTTCGAATCCTGGTCATGGCACCTTTTATTGTAAAATGAAGAAATTTGTTGCTGGATGTGTGGTCACCATATTTACATGGGTGGTGTTCTCACATCAAAGGTATTTGTTAACTAACACTACTAATTAATAATTGGTGGTCTAAACTGTTGGTTTTCAACCGCTTCTCTTCTTCTTTCTTATCTCCACTCAATCACACTAAGGTATCAAGCTTATAAAGCTTGAGATTTTTGATGGTGTCTTCCGGGGAAGAGTAGAGCTCATCAATGGATGAGTCAATACAGTCAATAATATGTCTTGGGGTTGCAGGCTGAGAATTGCACTTAGTACATAGTGGGAAAACCCTGCAACCATTCTGGAAAGTCATTGTCCGTAGATGACCAGACTTAAGTCTGGAAATCAAAGACTGTTGGATCCGCTACTACCCAGGATCAAATCCATCATTGGGCAACTTTTTTCTAATTAAAAAAAAAATGCTCCAATGGTCCCTTATTCTTGATAAAGTCCAACACCACCAGTGAGTACAAGTAACCAAAAGGGGCTCTGGCACACTTATAAGTTCAAAAAGTCAAATTGCTTTTCACATAAAGTAGACATGTGGTGGACTTACAGTAAAAAGCAGTTACAGTAAAAAGCAGTTACCAACTTCTACCCTCCATGTTTATCATGGCCTATACTACATGTATTAGGGATTTAAAAAAAAAACACTAATAAATGGGACTCATTTTTGCTTTTTCAATGAGTGTCAATGAGTTGGGAAATATGGAAATACCATGACATCATTCTAACTGGCAAAATCTGTCCTCAACAGACATTTCACATGGGGTGGATAGAGAACAAATTTACTGCACATTTAGCCTCTTACATAATACCGCCTTAGAAAATAAGTTATATAACACAAAGCCCTTTCTCTAAAATATATAGAAATAGTATAAACACAATAACCTTAAACATAGAACAAGGTAATAAGACCAAATCCAAATAAATAGTGTGTATACATATTTGGATTTGGTCTTATTACCTTGTTTTATAATCTATAATCCAAATTGTGCCTTATCAACTTAAACATAGAGGTAACATCCCGTCATACTAATGAAGCATAGAACATTGTGGGAGAGAGGCGTGCAAATATGGAGGCCTTGATCAATGTATCCAATTATGCAACTAGTAACATGAAATTAATTACATATGTGGGTTTTATAGTAGGTATAGGCTATGTGAATGGGCAATGCTATTACAATAGAACCAATTTGAGATAATACCAATCGATATTTGAACAAAATTTCTGATAATAAATGCTTATTACTTTTAATGTCTTCAATATAAAATATTTATATAGTGTAGAATATATATTGTCAGGTTTTGTATATGTTGTTGTTATGTCCAATGAAGAGCCTCAGATGTCTCCATACATCTCTATCACAGCAATGTCCTCTATCTTGGGTATGTAAAGCTGCTGTTCTGGGTTTAAGTAAATTTTCTGTAAGGCTGCGGCCATTGCTGGGCATGAGAATATGTGAGTAGGTGTTAGTTTCACACCAGGACAGGTTTGTATATAAGGAATACATTATAAAAGTATAATGTTATAGCCTAAAATTAAGAATGTCTCTTTATAATGAAGAATATAAGTGAGTTACACTATTGTTATGGTACTCTTGAAAAGATAGAAATGTGTGGAATGCTTACAATACTATTACATATGTTTATGATTTAGAAATGTACTTACCTATTTAATGGACTTCGACTGGTACTTTTTGACCATGGTAGTAGTCTTTTTTGGCTAGGGCTTCTTGAAAATGGTCTCCTTTCCCTTTCAGGGGTCCACCTGTGTCTTGACCTATACTGGGGGCTGACTGGAGATGGAGTCCTGTTTCTATAGGCCCTTGGTGCATCCAAAGGTGACCTGGATCTTCTTCTGGTCCTTTCATCCCGCCATCTCATGTTGTTGTATGAACGCTCTCTTTCAAAATCATTTAAATAATCTATTTCTGCAAATGAGCTCATTCTAGAGGTAAGAAGATTTGCACTATAATTGTTGTAATTCTCTCTAAAATATAACCTTTCTCTTTGGTCTGTAGGACGGTTTAACACTTGTCTAAAAGATGATTCTCCAGTATCTCGAGTTTCTCTGTTATTTCTAGTCTTCTTCTTCTTTTGATGCACCGGTTTTTCATTCTTCTTTGTTGTTGGTTCAATTGGTGGAGTCTTTTCTCTTCTAACTTTTTTTTTATCTTTTGAGGATTTTTTATCTTTTGGTTTTTCCCTCTTTGGACTGACCTTTGCTTCTTCACTGTCACTTGATGTATCACTACTTGCATTGTCATAATCAACAAGAGGTTTTACAGCATTCAATTTTACCTGGTCCTTTGAATGTTTTTTCTTGTGGGATTTATGCGAATTCTTTTTATGTTTTCTATGTACATGGGTACTATTTTTCTTCTTTGAATGCGATGATCGGTTCGTCTCGCCTTCTTCCATCGGGCTTTGAATCTTTTTTGTTTTGTGAAAGTGTTTTTCTTCAGAACTTGGCATTCCGAAGCATGTGTATTTACAATTTAAATAGAACTCACTTGTTCGTTAGGCGGCCATATTGAATTAAAATATTCAATAGCGACATTAAAATTCCGTCTTCATCAACAGCTTCTTAAAAATAGATTATGTAAATATATTAATAAGGTCAAAAATATATTAATTTTTTCAATGAAATGCATAAACAATATACGGTGATAAGTTTGTTGACTTTTTGTTTATTTATTTTTTGGTGATATGAAACCGGGTATGAAAATACTTTATTATGAAATGTGAGTTTCTAACTTTGCTCTCTCTTTTATTAATTATTTTGGATTTACTACAGCGTCAACGAGCTGTTATATAGGAAAATTCCCAATTGGGTATAGAAAATAAAAAAAATGGCCAACTAACAAAACAAAGTTGCTAGACTTATTACATTATTTTAGTTAAGCCAAACAATGTTCTAGATTTTTATTTTATTATTATTTTATTTTTTATACAGAGATCATTAACCAATTTATTATATTGATTTTTAAAATTGAATTGTTGATTTGAATTTTATATATAACTTGAAATTTAGGTGAATTAGTCAAGCACGTGAATATAATTTTTTTACATAGCCAACCATATTAAAATAAAATATTTTGAAATAATATAACAATTTACAAAAATTCGTTTGGAATATCGAAAAAGGAAATTATTAATTTAAAATTAATCCATTTCTTTAATAAAGTTCATAATTAAAATTATTTATATCTCTAAAAAAAAACTAAAAATTAAGTTGAATGTAATAATTTCCACGTTGCGCACGGAAAATAATTTTAAGTTAATCAGCACGTTATTTCATTAAATTGCTTTATAGAAATTGATAATATATATTTTGTGTGAAAAAAACATTTTAAAATGTCTCATAATTTTAAAGCAAACTAACAAGTAATCCTAAACCAGTTCTTTAATATTTGAAATAGCACTAATCAATTATTTTTGGTAAAAAAAATTGCCTTATAAAAAGTATTTTGTTAAATATTCCCTTTATTTTAATTTACAAGGGAAAAAATTATAATATGCTCGCTTGGTGTTAGGAAACCATTTAAGAACAAATAGGTATTTTCATTTAATATTTTTCAGAAACATTGAAACATAAGTGATATGTATCAAGAGTAAATGATAAGGAAATTTATTTTAGAATAAATGGAAAACACAGATGTAGAGAGATATGAATATTTTGTGTATATGCCAGCTTTTTAACCCCTTTCATGGGTTTGCTAAAACGAACTTCAATTCCTTTGCATATAATTATATAAAATCACTTACATTTCAGACAAATAACACATTAAAAGAATATAATTTTTAAAAGGTCTACTCTACAGTACTTTGTGATACTTACCCTTAGAACTTGTGAAATCCTAATTGAACGTTATAGCGGTTTATTGAGGATCGGCTTTGGAATGTTTCTTGTAATTGTTTGGGAGAGGGGTTCCATTTTTTCTTTGAACTGATGACTTAGATATATAAGGAAGTTAGATTGCCTATTTAAACTATAAATTCGTCGAAAATATCTCTTTTTATGAGAAACCTATTATACAAAATGTTCTATATATTCTACAAAATAATTAAATATAAATAATTATTGACCTTTTCTGTATAGGGAATAAATTAAAATAAATAGAATGATTTAGAGTTGAATGTCAGCATTGATACCTTGTGGGAGAAGTCATCAGATGCAGTTAAAAGTATACTAAGTGCCATAATTGCGAGTAAACTTGTTCAAATCCATATAATGTGATACCTGTGACAGCAGCTTCTTGCTGATTAACGTCAACCAACAAATACGAGGACGTTACAATACCTATCTTAAGCTGCCACTCAGAGAACAAGGTAAAATGCTTGGATAGCACAGATCATAGATTAACATACATAAGGGGCAGCAATTTAGAGAGCATAGTGTTTTTAACTGCCTAAGAGATTTCTCTTTTAGTTAATTCCAATGACGTTCTTATAAAGTTTTAAATCAGGTTGTAGCTTTTATAAAAATTTTAAAGTTTGCTCAAATATACTGTACTTGTAACAAATACACAAAAATTAAATGATAAACCATGTATTGTTTGACAGCATATAATCTTCATTCTGACCAAAATAGAGAGCTAAAATAGAACCATACCCTATTTGTGAACACCTTTTCATATTAATATGCAAATGAGGGATAAATTATAAGTTGAAATTTTCCGTTTATATATTTAAAAGTTTCTTTTACCTAGGAAGGATTTAATACAGAGAACTGCCATGGGTATTTTCCCCATGTATCTATACAATATTTTCAAATAAAAACGGCTTAAACTGCTTTCATGCAAAACGGTTTATAGAAACAGTGCAATTTGTAATGTGTTAAAATATAGTTGTATGTTACATTTGTTCATAAGAAAACTATATAACGCTT